TTCTATTTCACATAGGTCCTGTTCCAACTGCAACGGGGATCCATCTACCTCTGGCCATTCCTGGAGAGATGCCCACTGGGAGAGGTGGCTGGCCACCTAGTACCATCTGCTCATGGCCAGCCACCCCTCAATCCCTCCCCAGGTTTCAAAGGTTTCCATACCTGTCTGTGTTGAACAATTCTGCCGACTATGCGAAAAGTAATGCAAACATCCCAAACCGGGTAGGTTCATCACCAGTTCAAGGAGCCACGTGGGAGTTTTAGCTGTTTTCATGCTCTCCACCGTTCTTCGCCATACTCAGCTGTACCCGACTGTACCCTGCCATACCCCGCCATACTCCACACCATGCCACACCGTCCTCTGCCGCCCTGGCCATATATGTCCAGTCTCTTGGCTCAGATGCACCCACCTATGCATGCCCACACCCTACTCCAGGTGTCCGCCATCAGGCATGCATTTAATCTAATGGTGGGAGGGCAGAAAAGCCTGATACTTTTTACTTACCCTACACCAAGTAATAGACCAAGAAAAGGTAGGGGAGTAGGAGCCATTGAAGAAATAGGAGAAGTGGACATGATCTATGTGGTGGCCTCAAAGTCTCTGGACTCTACCAACAGTCATCGTCTGTCTTACTTTTCTCTACTATTGAATAGGACATCTACTTTTGTGTGTGTGTGTGTGTGTATTTATTATAAGGTGCTTTTTTGGGGGGAGAGTGACTGTAGTGCAACCATCCCAGGCTGGGTAGGTTCATTGTCAAGTCTTGCAAATGATAAGAGAATTTGGAGCCTTTGGTGGATTTTGCAGGCCTTTAATGTTGAGACCCGTCCATACACACAGGCAGAACAGCAACTCCACCTCCCAGCCCCCTGTACACCGCTAAGTCCCCATAGCCATACAACCAAAACATTGTTCCAAACACAAGGCCCTTTTGTTGTTTACTGGATTGCAGAATGGTGGAAAACATAGCATTTCAAGGTATGGGCTACCTGTTGTGTGGAAGACAAAAAATAGCCTAATTTGCCCATTTTCCTTACAGTGATCAACCTTCAAGTACTTCTTTTGAATATATTCTATTGTTCTGTCTTTAATATCTACAAAGGGAACATTATGAAAGCATTTACAGAGGAATTATTTTTCATGTTAACTTCGTTAACTTTGGAAAAACCTGCAATACTAAAAAGCCCATATTCTAGCAAATAAAATTATATGTGTGTAATCTATTTCTTACATCCAGGAAATCATTAAAAGGGATGAATTAATCAGGATTCTCAGTTGCAAGCAATGGAAACTCACTCTGGATGGTTAAAAGACAACAAAAATTTATTAAAAGGATATTGAATAGCTCACAAAATCTCCAGGAGAAACAATTTATCAAAAACCCGTAAATCCCATTGCTGGTGCTATGCAATGCTCAGTGCTCAGTAAATGCAGTAGCTACTAGTTACTTGAAATGTGGCGAGTCCTAATTGAGCTGAACTGTAAGTGTAAAATACACACCAGACTTTGAAGTATTAAAACAATGTAAAATATCTTACTAATATTTTAAAATAATGATTATACCTTGAAATGATAATATTTGGATATATTGGATTAAATAAAATGTACCAAATTAATTTCACTTGTTTATTTTTCCTATTTTAAAAGTAGTTACCAGAAAATTTTAAATTATGTACAGGAAACTGGCACATCTGTTTTCAAATGTAAAAGTAATCCAACAACAAAACAGCTTTATTTGCAAGTGAAAAACACAACTTTGGGGTTTTTAGGAGAATTGTAATCTTTTAAGTGCGAGAGGGAAATAGAGTTTGTATGGGCAAAGCTGCCTCCTACAGGTAAAATAACAAAATTCTTTATAAAGGGGAAAAAAAAAGCAAAAGGAAGGGATGCCTGAATGGCAGTAGAGTGGTAGATTATACACTTTGAAGCCATTTTATTTACATTTGCTGGGCTGTGGTCACATCTTTCTTTTCCATTAAATTGTCTTTGCTCCATTGTCAAAGGTCAGTTAGCTATATTTCAATGGGTCTATTTCTGGGTGCTCTACTAATTGATCTACTTGTCTATTTTTTTTCACCAATACCACGTCTTGATTACCATAGCTTAATAGAAAGTCTTGAAGTGGGATAGTTTAATATCCATATATTTTGGTATTTTCCAGCTACTTTTCTATTATTGATACCTAATTTAATTCGTAACTGTGTTCTGAGAACAGATATTATATGATTTATTATTCTATTAAATCAGTTACAGTGTGTTTTATGACCCAAAATGTTCTCTAACTTGGTGAATGCTCCATATGAACTTGAGAAAAATATGAATTTTGCTGGCCTATGATGACATATTCAAAGTTATTATTGATACAGTTGAGTTAATCTCTACTATATTTGTGTTGTTTTCTACTTGTTACCTTTTTTCTTTGTTTCTACTTTTTGTCTTCTCCTTTTATTCGCTTGTAGTTTTTTTATTATTATGTTTATTTAGTAACATTGATTTAGCATACTGTATATGTTTTAGGGGTATAGCCTTGCACCTCTACAAATGTTAGTTATCAACCATTCCCACCACCAAAATTTCAGTAATCTTCCACCATAGTCCATTGGGCCCCTTCCCCACCCCCCCTTCTCCTAGCCTCAGTTTGATTGTCAATTGTAGTTTTAAATGAGCATTTTGCATAATTCTATTTTCTCTCCTTCTTAGCATATCAGTTTCTTAAAACTTTTTTTGATGTGGCCAATGAATTGGAAAATGTCTGAAGTTATGTTGAGACAAAGCCTCACTGTAGACTGAACGTTCCAGGGAGTAACTGATAAATGTTCTCAGGGCCACATATCTGACTTACACCCAGATAACTGCTTAGGAATCTCCTGCTTCTGTACTCCTGCTTGCTTCAAAGTGTAAATGTGCCCCTGCTTAGGCAATAAATACTCTGTTACCTAATTGCTCAGGGCTCAGACTTAGGAGAAAGATCTCTGGGCCTGCCAGTATAAATAAAGATCTTCCCTCTTCCTCGCTGAGTGCTGCCTGGTTCCCTAATGGAATTCTGCCATAACACCTAGAGCTTGCAATACACATTTGCAACTAATGCAAGTCCACTTTTAAATAACACCATACTGCTTTATGGATAACATGAACACTTTATAACAAGATAATAATTTTAATTCCGCCCTCTTGTGCCTTCTATTTTTGCTGTCAATCATTTCACCTATATAAATGCATACATAAGCAGATACATGACATATATAATATGTAAGCATAAATGAATACATTGTTATTATTTTGAAAACATTGTTATGTTAAATTAATCAAGAATTTAAAAAAAAAAGTTTAATTTTATTTTCACTTATTCTTTCTTCAATATTCTCCCTTTCTTATATCCAAGTTTCTGAACTAAATTATTTTCTTCCTATCTAAAAAACTTCTTTTAACAATTCTTGTAAGGCAGGTCTACTGTCAATAAATTTCTGAATTTAATTTTTTTAATCTTTATTTTGCCTTCACTTTTGAAGAATATTTTCTTGTGGTACAGAATTCCAGGGTGGCAGATTTTTCCTTGCAACATTTTAAATATTCCACTCTATTTTCTTCTTGCTTGCATAGTTTCTGAGAAGAAGTTGGATATGATTCTTATCTTTATTCTTCTAGACATGAGGTATTTTTTTCCCTCTGACTTTCTTCAGTATATTTTCCTTATCTTTGATTTTCTACAGTTTGAAAATGGCATATCTAGTTATAGTTTTTCTGGCATTTTACCTTACCTGGAATTCTCTGAGCTTACTGGATCTGTGGCTTGCTGTCTGACACTAATTTGGGGAAATTCTTAGTCATCATTGTTTCAACCATTTCTTCTGTACCTTTCTCTTTTCCTCTCCTGCTATTTCCATTATATGCACTTACATTTTTTTAAAGATTTTTATTTATTTATTCATATAAGAACCAGAGTACAGGCCAGATGCTCAGGAGGGTGAGAGGATTGACCAGGGACAAAGTGGGGAACAGAACAGGCAGACTGATGAAATACACTGCTGAGGGGAGCAGCAGGCGAGACAGGAGCAGTCTGCCGTGTCATGTGGGAACCTCGCCAGCCGGCTGGGATCGAACTGATGCTGCAGAGGCTGCGGACAGCTTCACAGCAAGGCGCTCAACTGCCTGCACCACCAAGGGAGGCCCCACTTACATTTTTTGTAGTTGTCTCAGAACCCTTGGATATTCTAGGTTTCTTGTTGTTATTTTCTCAGTCTTTATTCTTGTTGCTTTTCAGGTTGATAGACTTTTATTAACAGAGCTTCAAATTCAGAGATTCTTTCCTTAACCATCTCCAACCTTCTAATAAGCCAATCAAAGATAGCGTTTTTGCTGCATTGTTTTTAAAATCTTTAACATTTCTTTGTGGCTATTTCTTAGAATTTCTATCTCTCTGCTTACATTGCCCATCTGTTCTTGCATGCTCTCTATTTTATGCATTAGAGCCCTTAGCATACCAATCATAATTGTTTAAATTGTCAGCCTGATAATACCAACATCCCTACCAAGTCTGGTTCTGTCTATTCAAATTGTGTTTCTTAGCTTTTAATATGCCTGTTAATTTTTCCTCGGTAGAGTTACATGATGTATCAAGTAAAAGGATCTGCTGTAAATAGGCCTCTGTAATGTGATGGTATAGTGCCAGGATGGGTACTGAGCAGGTTTTCTAGGCTCGGAGCAGACCAGACAGGTAAAGGAGTCCTGGAGCCCTCGGTGGCTTTCTCAGGCTTTCATTGAGCTTTTACATGTAGTGCAGCAACCAGGTACACAGCAGGCACAGGTGCTGGGGGGCCAGGAGGCTACTAGGCCTCCAAGCCCCAGCAAGTCTTCACTCTGGGCTTCTCTGGCCTTCTTTCTCTCCTCCTCTCTCCTGCTTCTTCTGCGGCTCTCTGAATACTCCTCCCAAGGCCAACAAAAGTAAACAAGACAATTTGAAACACTGTAACAATTGCAGGTGCCCCCATCAGGCAGGGCAATCCGAATGGTGGGAGGGCAGAAAAGCCTGAAAACCATTTACCCTACCGATGGTGAGTTATGGGAGAATGAAATTGTTCTATATTCCAGATGATGTCTTAGTCTTTAAGGAAGCCTGTGCTTCTGGACTGTAAATTTCAAAAGAGTTTCTTAATTTTGTTTTAGTTTTTCTCCTTAATGTGGGAGAGAATGACTAGCATAGGTTGGAGTTGAGTGTTTCCTTCTTCCAGGTCAGGTAGGTTCTGCTAGTACTGTAAGAGGTTAGATTGAGGTTAGATTCTGGTTAATTGGTTTATCTTAAGAGGAAGCCCTTATTAAGAACAGGTGATTGGAATAGTTAAAAATGGTTTCTGTTCCCCTCTTATGCCAGCAGTATGAGGGGATATCTCTCCAGTCTTTATTGTGGGAGTCTGTTTGAGCTCCTGGAGGAAAATCTTACAATATTGCATATTCCCCTATGAGTCGGTCTAAGAATTTTTAGCTCTTAGGCTTGTCCACAATGGACCTTCATAAATCATCAATTATAGTTTGGTTTTACCATGTTGATTTCTGCTTGTGAGCCTGTTCCCATAGGACTAACTCTCTGTACTGCTTGTCTGCCTCTTGTGAATAGTTCTTTGTGCTGGTTTGCACTGTGTCCTTACCTCTCTTACAGATCTTTTCAGCTTTTTATTTGTTTGAGGGATGGCAAAAAGACTTCCAAACTCCTAACATTTGGAACCAGAAACTGGAAGTCCTCTCAAATTTTGTTATTATTTAACATTTTGATATTGTGTTCATCATAACATTTAATGTTAATTATGACTTTTAAAAATGTTACATTAATCTATTAATCACCTGGATAACTGTTTTGTGCCTGCCCAATAGTAATAAGCAAACTGAAGAAAGTTTATTTAAAGACACAGGCCAGCTCTCTAATGCAAAGCTGCCAGGGTTAAAGAAACAGGCTAACTCCTGCCAGCAGTCAGCAAGCCTGACATTTATGCCAAGACAGATAAAAAGCAAAAACAGCTCCCGCACACACACACACACACACACACACGAGGGGTCCCAAATGGGTTGCCGTTGGTGAAAACAACTTTGGGGCTTTTATAGTTATGCTCATGTTTGGGGTTTAGGGGGTGAGCTGTGGTGATGGTGCAGTTTCTTGATTGGTCACCTTGGCGAAAGTCCTAACATAGATTAACTGGGTTGATAGCATCATGTGCTTTTTTCTTGTTATTGACTTTTCTCTCTTGTTATGTTTCCCAAGCGTTCCATGTCTCCCAGGGTCCCAGCCATTATCCCTCCCGTTATGTCTCCCAAGGTCCCAGTCTAGGTGCCTATCAAGGACTAGCCCCTCACTAGGAAGAGTCTTTGGACTATAGTTTGCTCCCAATGGAAAAGAGGGAGGGAGAAGGTGGCTCTAAGTAGTTGGGGATTGAAAGGAGCAAGGTACATAATTCAGAGGGACCCCTTCCCCCAAAAGGGAAAAAACAAACAAACTTAAAAACCCTCCTGCTCAGGAAGACTCTCTTCTTGAGACTGCCCACCATTTCTGCAGTGCTCTGTTTTATGGCTTCCTAATACACTTGGTTGCTGGTTTCATTCTGGTGCTTTGTGAAATTCTTTCCTTGAGAGACACCAAGGACCCTTGGGTGTAGGGGTACTCAACATGGATTTTAAGACAATTGTTGGTCTTGAAACTTCGAGTTTCTGGTGGAGTCAGAAAAAGTTGTGAAGTTGTAGGTCACTTGCATTTGCTTGGTTTTGTTGTTGTGAGCTTCCCAAATCCCAAGTGAAACCAAGATTTACCCTTCTTATATGATCTTTTCTTTTCTTTGGGATTTGGTTTTCCATTTTTATTTTTAATAATAATTATTATAGGGCCTCCCTGGTGGAGCAGGCGGTTGAACGCCATGCTGTGAAGCTGTCCGCAGCCTCTGCAGCGCCAGTTCAATCCTGGCCGGCCGGCAAGGGTCCGACATGGTGCAGCAGACCTCTCCTGTCTCGCCTGCTGCTCTCCTCAGCAGTGTATTTTGTCAGTCTGCCTGTTCTGTTCCCCACTCTGTCTCTGGTGAATCCTCTAATCCTGCACATCTGGCCTGTACCCCGGTTCTTGTATAAAAAAAATAAATAAATCTTAAAAAATAATTATTGTTATATATTCTCTTTCAGTTTGTCATTCTAAATTTGTAAAGTATTGAGAGTTCTAACACTGCTGTTTTCACATTATCTCTAAATCTTTTAGCACCTGGATTTTGAGACTCAGGCCCCTTCCCTCCTGCAGCGGCAGAGGTAGGTCATATACTAGCCACTTGTATTTTCAGCCTCTGTTTTATTTCTTGAAGCTGAGAATATTTTTATATGGTATCAAGATTTTCTAAGACTTTCAGGAAGTGACTTTTCAGGTAAAATAGAGCCTTATATTGCAGAACCTAGAAATCAAGTACGAGGGAACCTATCAAGAAATCAAGTATGCAGAATCTATCAAGTATGAGAGATGATTAATTACCTTTTCAGGATTTAGAAAATTTACATTCAGTGAATAATTTATTAGGAAGTCTTAAAGGTGAAGTATAACCAAATGAGAGAATAAACCAAGAAAGAAAATGCAAATAGGGGTTTTATCCTAGAGGGGCGTTAGAATCTCAGGATGACAGCAGTGAAACTAGTATAGACAGAAACCCAGCATAAGGTGGAGTAGGAGATGGGAGGCTCCCTGTAGGAGGTTTCTAGAGAAGAGGAAGGACTCAAAATAGTACACGTTATGATTTAGTGGCCTAGAAAGAGTTGTTATAATAAAGACAAATAGGACCTCCCTGGTGGCGCAGCCATTGAACGCTGGGTTGCGAATCTGTCTGCAGCCTCTGCAACGGGTTTGATCCCCGGCCACTGGGGAGGGTCCCACATGGCGCACAGACCTCTCCTGCCGCCCGCTGCTCCCCTCAGCAGTGTACTTCATCAGTCTGCCTGTTCTACTCTCTGCTCTGGCTCTGGTGAATTCTCTAACCCTCCCGTGCTTCTGACTGTACCCAGTGCTTGGATAAATACATTTTTTAAAAAATTAAAAAAAAGACAAATAATGCAAGAAAAAGCGAGGCAGTAAGGAATTCTAGGAGGAACAAAAGAAGACACACACACATAAAATGAAGCAGAACTATAGAAAAGGTAAGAAACTCAGAAATGATAATAAATCCAGGAAAATTTCAAGGAAATGGATAAGAAAAAGATTAAGACTGTTAATATTATCAGTTTTACAAAAATGGAAAATGGCCACATTGTCAGCATTGTTGGGAAACCAAATGAAAAGTCAAGTCATTTGCATATTATCCAGCTAACCAAGAGAAGAGCTAAAACCTGATAATGAACTATCAAATGAAGGAATAAAGGTAAGGTACACTGCAAGGCAGACTAAATGTTGTCATTTCAGCTAACAACCCAGGTAAGGGTTGTGAGCTGATTTAAAGGAGAAATGTGCAGAAGCATGAAAACACGTGTGTGGAAGGGACATGGAGGGCTGCCGCCAGTGTGGGGGAGGGTAGAGGCAGTGATTTTCACAGTAAGCCCTGCTGTTCTACTTTATTACCTCGTACCTATATTACTTCGATAAAAAATTAAAAGAAGTACATACTGGGTTATTCATCAATAACTGTGAAAATAAAGACATAGAAGCAGAGATACTGAAAAAAAAGAGAAGAGAAAAGGAAGAAGAAATTTATTATAAAATTAGATCAAGATGATTGGAGAAAGGGCAGATCAAGCAGGACAGAAGATGAAGGGGCAAGTGTTGGTGGGATACGGTTTGTTTCTCACATGGAGCCTAGTTTTGTATCTAAAAGGTAACCTATAAGGTAATGCGGAGACTGGGTGCCTGAACTTCCCCGAGAAATGTGGACATTCACCAGACTCCAGCTGAATGCTTGGCAATGTCAGCGGGACCAGGGCAAAGCTTTAAGGCTCATTCCAAAGATTGCAACAAAAATCTAATGTGTAGAGTAGGTAGCAAAAAGAAAAAAAAAGGAAGAATGGCACATTGTATATAAAAGTGTATTTCTAAAGGAATCCCCTTTAAAAAAATATCAAACACTAAAATAAAAGCATCTCAGAGGGTACTGTAACAGGTGGTCCCAGGGAAAGGGGAAGTTCCAGGTTCCCTGCCCCACCCAAGAAAGAGTGGGGCTGAGCAGGGAAGAGGTGAAACTGGAAAGGAGACTGGAGAAGGAAGAAAGATGGATGGGGAGCCAGAAGGAGATTTGGAGGAGGCAGAGAGACACGTGAAGAAGCTATGCTTGCTTCTTGGCCTTGGGCTTGTACCAGGGGCTGGGGAGACATGGAAGGAGACACATGATACAGATGTGGGTGAGAGACCCGTGGGGAGGTTAACAATGGTAGCATTTATATTGATTTCGATTTTGCCCCTTCCCTTTTGGTCTTGTCTGGTCCTTTCTGCCTCTTTCTATGAGTTCCCACCAGGAGGTAACATTAACTTATGCAAGCTTTTGGGCCTCAGCGGTCCTGCTGTTGGCTAACCCTGTTTGGCTGGACATTTTCCCACGAGGGGATGGGTAACTTTAGGTGTCTTATTTGGAAGCTACATTTTTTTCCCTTCTCTTTATTGCACACTAATTGTATTAAAGTTCATTTCTATTAAAGATCTTACACACTAGAGTATGTTTTGTTTTGATGTGGCAGAGGGCAGAACCCATTGAGAGCAGGCAGGTTTGGGAGTTCTAGGGTGCCCTTCACCCTGCCTGGTAATAGTGCCTTAAAAAGAAAAACTCTGCCAAATTCTCTTCAACCCCAAAATACTTAGCTAACTTAATGGGGGAGAGAATAGCACTTTAAAAAATTCTTCTCCCTAGACATCTCTTTGGTAGTTAGAAACAATAATCTTCTAGAACTATTTTCTCAAAAGTCCATCACCTGTCAGGTGCACCTGCACAGCCTGTGGGAGGATGAGGATGAGGTGCAGAGTCCTGAGAGATTCCTGAGCCCATTGTTGGAGTAAGTATACATGTTCCTTCTCTCTCCATCTTGTCAGAACTTCACATTTCAGGAGCCTTGGTGCCAGCTACTAAGTACCTGAGAAACAATGGCAGTGTTCCAGTAATTATTTAATGAATTGTTGTGGAGGGACTTTAGGAAGGAGGGGTGTTGGCATGTAAATTGTTATTAGGTGAAACTGTCGTAAAGTCCTCAGGAGAGGTATGGACCAAAGCACACAGAACAGTTTTCAAAATGAACCCTGCAGTACCTTGCAAAATTAAAGACAGGAGATACACATTTATTGAGCACCAACTGTGTGCGGCGCCATGCTGGACTGGGCACACAGGCACTCCACTCTCACCTGGAGGAGATAGCATTATAACCTCAGTGTGACCTTCATGTGACAGGGTCTGTGATGGTAACTGTAAACCTGTGGTCACAGGATAGAAAACTCGATGTTTGCTAGATGTGGTTCTAAGAGCTTACACACGTTGACTCATGCAGTCTTTGCAACAACAGCACGAAGTACCGTAATTACCCCATTTCACAGATGAAGGACTTGAAACTGCTAGCTATGTATTAATGTAATGAGTCACTTAATTTGGTTTGAGAACTGGGCTGTGTTTATTCAGATCTTATCTTGTAGGAGAGATAACCATATGGGTCTTCATGCTTCTAAGCAAATAAAAAACACATAGGTACCTGGGAACTCACGGTTACCTATTTGGGGATTTCTCTTGTTTGTCAACCCAACCTCCCAAATTAGCCACCTTTTCAAGAAAAATAATCCTAAACTAAATCCTTAGTTTCTTTTTCCATGGCTCCTGTTTATAGCAGGTGTCCTGTGGTGTGTTCTACTTTCTGCTAATGTTTCAGAGTTCAGAAGGGCCTCATACTATTGAGAGACGAGGACAACGAGGGACAGTGAGCTAGACCCACACTCTCAGGCATATGTGCAAGTCTAGGCTTGGAGTTTGAAACTGGGGAAGGGACACAAAGTGAATGGAAAGAAATGAAAGGAGAGTCAGCCAAGTGTTCTTGCCTGTGTGCCATGGGGTGGAGGGCATCTGTGATGGGGCCTGGCATGGCAGGTGCCCGGTCTCCTTGTTCTCCTTGTTCACTGGGAGTGATGCGGTGCTTCTGTCACGTGGCTACCTTCTGCTGGAGCCATCTCTTCTCTGTCTTCATGCAAACATTGCTTATGAGACTCATAACTCTGCCTGGGTTATGTTCACAAAGCCATGACCTTGATGTTCAGGTTCAGGAACACTCAGCCCCAGAAACAAAACAAATAGAAATTTCAATATAATTCTTGTGTCTTCAGTTCTGTGAAAAGGATATTTAACCCATAGCAATCATCTTAAAATTCCTATCCCATTAATTGATACTTAAAATGATAATTTAAACCAGGAGAAAGAACTAATAATAATGGTGCTAATACAACTGTGTTCGTCAGGATTTCATAAGAAAAGTAGAACCACTATGAGTGATAGAGGATAAGGATTTACTATAGGAGCTGTGTAATTGTAGGAGCTGATGGAAAAGTCCGTGTAATTTTTGCCTCTCTCATGCTGGCTGAGGTGAGCGGGTCTGGTAAGCCACAGTTCCCACGAGAGAGAAGGCTAGGACAAATAGGAACACCTCCCTCTGTCACCACCTTTCATCCATAACGGGTCAACCTACAACAGAAACTGTCTTCTGTCTGGCACTGAAGGACCCATAGGCTGGTTTGTTGCCCCAGCAACGTGAGCTGCCTGCCCATGGGGCCTGGGTGATGCGGCATCTGGCCCTCGATGGCCCTTCAGAGCATCAGAAAGAAACCCTTCTCGTGGCTCTGCCTTCTAAATCTTGCACACATTTGGCTTGCCAACCTTAACCTGGAAACATACAGGAAGAGGAATTTGGGGAAGAATTAGCTAAATGGAAGAAAACACAAATTGAGAGTATCTGGGACTAACCAGATATGTGGTCACCCTAGTTCTTTTTCTCTTCTCTTTTCTCAGATCCTCAGAAACCCTTTCTGAGTCTTTGCCTACCCACCTCTGGTTCTTTCCTTGGGCTGCCTCCAGCCTCTGTTCCCTCTCTGCATTACAACACCCAAACAATTGGCCTGGACATCTGGTCTTTGAGGGCACCGAGGGGCAGAACAGGACTCTGTAGTGTCCAGGGGAAGATAAGAGCCTGGGAAGGGGCACACATTAACAATTCCAGTTCTAACACATTGGGGTACCATTGGATTATTTAGGGATTGTTGGGCATAAGTCCTGCCCAATTCTTACTCTATGTTATTATTTTGCAAACATTACTTGATATGTTTACTTAATAAATCTTTATTTAGATCCAACTCTGTGCTGGGCCATCTGCTTCCTGTACCAGAGAGGGAGGGTGTTGTCTTATTGGTCATTTGTCCTTAACAAGTTCCTATCTACTGAATGAGTGAGCGAATGAATGAATAAACAGATGGAAGCAATGGAGGGCAATTAAAATGTGGGGACCCCTTTTTTTTTTTAAAGATTTATTTATTTATTTGTACATGCACTGGGTACAGTCAGAAGCATGGGAGGGTGAGAGAATTCACCAGAGCCAGAGCGGGGAGCAGAACAGGCAGACTGACAAAATACACTGCAGAGGGGAACAGCGGGTGCGGCAGGAGAGGTCTGCTGCGCCATGTGGGACCCTCGCTGGTGGCTGGGGATGGAACTGGTGCTGCAGAGGCTGTGGGCAGCTTCGCAGCCCAGTGCTCAACCGCTGCACCACCAGCAGAGGCTCTGGGGACCCCTTTTTAAGGTTCAATATTTAATCTATGAAAAGCATGGATTCCTGTTCTGAAACTTTTCCTGAAGGACATACAATAGGCATGTGCCTCATAACCCACCCTCACGTGTAATGTAGGGCACAGGGAGACCTAAGGATCATATACAGAGAGTGGAGCTCTCTGCATTTCATTGCTAGTGTGGATTTAATTCAGAACCTAAATGGCATTTTCAAATGGCTTTTGTGTTTAATTATAGATAACGTGGGTAAGTATAAGCAAGCAATTACTTAAAAGACAGGCAGACAAAGGAAATCCAAGAGCACTAATAGGTTTTTAATGACCAGTTATTTATTGTTTTGCAAGTTTAATTAAATATCTTCCTTCAAATGCAACTAATTGTTGATTAATAAATATGTTTTCTAGTTACATGATATGAATGCTTATTATCCCATCATACTTTATAGACAATATTAGACTTCATAAATGGGGTGAAAATTATATTTAACTTGTAGTAATAGAGATTCAACTCTACTAATCCTGATGCGATTAGGTGAATTTAAAAAGACATTGAATCAATTTTCTTTTCATATAGTGATTATTATATTTTCTATGGTCCTTATGCTCTTTTCATTATAAAAAGAACCTTTGATCTTAAATTCTTCTCATGTGCATGGGAAATTAAACATGAGTTCCGTAGACCTCCTCATCTCCAGCTCTGTGCTAAACGTTAAAATAGACCCTGAAAATAGAAACTAACCATTTCTGCTGTAGCACATGGTATGATTCCTCTCAGAGAAGGAAGATCCCAGGAGGGTTCCTTCACCTGTTTCCCTTCCATCTCTAGGTCTTGTTTGTCATCAAGTGCTGGAAGGTACAGTAGGGCTGCTGAATCTAACACACACAGGCATTTTTGCACAATAGTCACACAGTAGAATATAAATGAAATTCTAATTAATTGACAATGCCTAGGCACCTATTCTAGGGGTACTTGATAAACAGAATTCATTGCTTGTCTCCCTGGCTAGTAGCAATAGCCCTCTGAAGAGATGGGGCTGCTTCAAGGGCAATGCAGTTAAGATAGTGGAAATCACAATGAGGCCTCCTAGGCTTTGAACAAGAAACACAGGTAAAGGGTATTTTCCATAAGTAGAATTTGGTGCAGTTTTAAGATACCACGTCTTTCATCACGTAATCACTTACCCATGGCTCTTATCTGAAGCAATATCCAGCGTCTAAGATGGTGCCTTCCCACCACTGGTGGACCAGAACCCCTATTCCAAAAAGAAGGGCAAAGATGGCATTTTTTCACCATTGAGGACTTGGAGCACATGGCAGCCAGACAGTAGCCGGGATCCAACTCATGAAGAGAGCAAAAGACACAAGAGGGGATGCTCACCGGAGCTGCTGAAGATGCCCCAGTGCAGCACCAGATAAGCAGCATTCAAAACAGCAGCTGCAGCAGCCAAACAACCTGACAAACAGCCACACTCATGCAGCTTAGTGAGGTGCCTGACTCTGGGTCTTCACCTTTCCTTCCAGGGAGTAACAACAACAAAGCTGGGAACAATTTCAGTCGCTTGGCTATCTGCAAAGTCTCTAAACTTTTCTCCTCTGAAATTGGCTGCTGGAAGCCCCTGCACATCTTCAGGAGGCCCACAACAGCCCACAACAGCCTTCTGGAAGATCAGCGTGGTGGGGGCAGGAATGGCTGACCCTGGAATCCTGAATCCTGGAAAACACTGAATCCCAGGGGCTGCTTCTGCAGTCCCTTATATTTCCTATCCGAGTATTTCACCGGGGGCTATTCACCCTCACCTGTGGCCCCCTCCAAGGGGTGCCACCTGTAACTTAGCTTTAATCCCCAATTACAGTTTGTTAGTCCCTGAGTCTCAAGAGTGTTCACTGAGGCACATGTAAACTTTCACTATGTATTTTATTCTAGAGAGGTCTATGCATTTTACCACAGCTCAGAATGAAAATAACTCTTGGAAGATCACAATTCTAATCTTTCCTTAGAAGGAGGTAGATATTACATTATCTGAAAATATTCCAGTGCTCTCTCATGAGATTGATTATTCTACATTAGCTCTATATCTTTCATAAAGTATGTCACATTTTTCTAGAAAACACATCAGTATTATTTATAATTGGCAATCTCCCCTTGGATGACTTAGGATGTACTTCTACCAAGACATAAATTCATATATTAAATATTATTCATGTCAATTATGCTCTGATAATAGTGGAAGATTTTTTTATTATATTTTTATTCATTCTGCTGTGACTATAATTTTAAACAAGGAATTCTCCTTATTGTGTTAAACATATTACCAAGATGGTGCTTTAGTTTAATAACTACCATGCATATACATTTATGTATTTTCCAGATCTTGAGCTAAACTAAAACAAAGTGTGTTATGTTTCTAAATTTGAGGAGAGTCTTTATTGATATTTTTGAAGATGGTGAGAGAAAACAGACAAATGCAGAATTATTTAATGCGCAAAAAGAATGTGAAATCTTTCTGTCACAGTGCTATGGAAACTGTAGTTATCAAGGAAATACTGTTAGGGGAAAAGGATTTCCTGAGCGAACTACATACAGGCTTTGTGGGTGCCACCCCACTCCATCAAGACACTGGGAACTACAAATCCCATGATGCCCAAAGGGCAGCTGCGAGGACCTAAGGGTGGAGTTAAGTAGCCATTTTCTCTGTTTGTAAATAAAACCAGCCATATTAGGGGGGGGGTCTCCCGCACTTGGCTCATGCTCTTGGCCAGGCCGGTGTGGTCTCAGCAGATCATTTGGGATTCCAGGTTGGTGGAATGGCTAGGACACATTTAAAAATTTATCTCCTTCTTTTATCCCTGAGTTGTACATTTCCTCATTTCCCTTTCCCTTGTAAATAAACCTTTGTTAACCTTTAGTGTGGGCCTGCAGCTTAATTTCCCTTTAAGCGTGCGGGTGAGGACCCACAGTCAGGCAACCCATTTTATATCAGGGTTGCCCTGTAACAATACCTCATCAGAGTAAAATGTTCATTGCCTTACAGTTGAGGAAATCATGATTTACTTATTTTTAATGAATATTGTGTTCAGTCAGCTTGAACAAATTCATGTTCAAATTGTTGTTTATGTCCCACTAATCACTCTGGTCAGCCCCTACCTGATCAGCCTAAGAGAAGTCCAGTGAATTGTCTTTGGACCCCCTCTGCATTGTTCAAGATTCACCCAGTCTGAGCAAAGTGGTTCTATTTTCAAGGGCTGAAAGAGGAGAATGGGAGGTGTGAGTGCCCATATGAGGCCCAGCACCTGTGCCATCACTTCTCATGGCAGCCCTGCTGGCCCTGACCAGACTGTGGTATGGCCATCACCCCACCATTGAGTGTCTGTGAGGGAAGGGGTAAGATCTACCTTGCCTGGAGTCTGGGCTTACTGTCTTTTACAAATGGGGTACAGGCAGACAACGATGGGACATTTGGGAGGTAGGAGGGACCAGTCCTTCCCCTCAGGTCACCTTCAGACAAGTATTAAACTTTCTAGGTCACCTATCTTGAAGTTGCTCTCCCATATTCAGTCATTGCCCAGGGGGGTTGTATAGGGAAGCCTTCCAACTTTAGCTACATGCTCCGCTGGACCAGCCATTCCATGGTCACCAACACCCGGGTCATCAGACCAACTTTGCTTGTTTTTGGATGAGTCAACACTGTGCTCTGGGTGTCTCTCCTCTCAGCATACTTCAGTCAGAAAAGCATCTTGGCAAAGGGTTGACTTTTCTGTGGAAACTGGCTCACAACCTTTTGGCTTCACATATCAGAAAGTTCAGGGAGGGCTGGTCTCACACACACACACACACACACACACACACACACACACACACCCTGGTCTTAGAGATGTTACCCCAGTGTGTGGATACCTACTGGCCTCACCGGTCTATGACTAAAGGGAACACTTAGGTATTTCTTTGTGGAACAGAGAAACCCTACACCTAGGCACCTTGCAACTTTATGGAATCAGGAAAGAGGGTGTTAGCTCATAAAATGAAGCTTACTCAGTTTAAAAAGAGTTCAACTTCTGTGTAAGCAGGTATCCAGGTATCAACAAGAAGAAACATGGTGAGTTTTGTAGAGTAGTAACAGAACCTACACTTGGACTAAATGGTATTTGCATTTCAAGTACCTAGAACAACTGCTTCAAAAAGTGAATCAAATGCATGGTATATATTTTGCAAGTTTGAGATATTCCTCTGTCACCCTCTCTGTAGTGGGAATTTGCATAGCACTAAATCACATCTGTAAAGCATTTTGAAACCTGCAGATGGAAAGTGTTATGAGTAAAAAGAAGACTGATTAGATTCCTGTTTCAGACTCCTCCCCTGTCCTCTGTATAAGATGTGGGAAAGACCATTCCCTGCAGGTTTTTAAGAAGTGATGCTTGTATGTCCTTGGCTTCAGATTCCCAGCCCCACCCCAAACTCTGTTTGAGTCACATCCCTAATATCCAGACATCTGACCCTTTTAGTCTGTCAGTATCTCAAACTCATGTGTCTAATATAAAAGTTGTTGTTTGAGTCCTTAAATTGATTCCCCCCCTTTTTTTTTCACTGTGGGGAGTTTTCCATGATTCCTTCTGCTATTTTCCTTTTGTAGATAATTGGGGACTGTAAGGAAAGTGAGTTAAGTCAGGCTATTTTTTCCACCTTACAACCAATAGACAGCTGGTAACCTTGAAATGTACCAGTTATGATCAGTTAAGTTTTCCACCTTTTGGGACATCCAGCAAATAATAGGTGGGTCCTGCATGTGCAACAATGTATCAGCTATGTGGCCTTGGGCACAGACCAGTATAAAGGGGGCTACAGGCTCAGTTCTGTCTGTCTCTCCCTGCCGGCCTCCCACCTGATTCCTTGTTTCAGCGTTAAAGGTATGTCAGACATACATAGGGTTCCAAGATTCTTTTCCCTCTTGCCCAAATCAACAGTGAACCTTCCTAGCCTAGGATGATTGCACAAGTGGTGTAGATGACAGCAGAATTCAACGCAGATGGGTATGGGGACTTCTGACCCTTGGGAAGGACTGAGGTGTGGTCAGCCACAAGAAAGTGGTACTCAGTGGCCTGCCTCCTCTCTCAGTGGGCACCCCCGCATGAATGGCCAGACATAGAGGGACCCCTGTTTCAGGTGGAGCAGGCCCTGTGCACAGTAGGGGAATCTTGGGCAGGCAGAGTGCCCGTGATGCGGCAGGGGCTGTGGAATGCGTGTTTCTCACAGCTCTGCGAGAGTCTATGCTGAGAGAGGAAGCCAAGGTCTGGAGCTCCAGGATGAGATGCAGGCACTACGAGGTCTCTTAAGGACTCTGGGGGAGTGGGAAGAGATCCAGGGAGACCTACCTGCCCCTCTGGAGGTGCCAGTTACCCCCTCTGGAGAGGAGGGGCAGGCTGACCCCTGGCCTCAGACTCACTCCGTGGTGACACAGATGATGAAGCAACAATGGCCTATGGCCCTAGGGGTCAGGCTGTTGGGCTGCTACAGATGATGAGTTCACCATATTGACCTATCACCCAAGCAGAAACCAAGAGAGCCTTGGGCAGCCTGGCTGCTGCATTTGTGGGATCTGGGGGATGGACGGAATTATTTGCATAGCACAGGAGATAGAGAAACTGGGCTTGGTGACCCTCACCCATCGTTGACATGGAGGCTGTAGAACAGCTGGGTGCATGGCCAGGGGGATCACACTCTGTTGAATTGGGTAATGGCTGCTGTGTGAATCGTATGGGCAGGAGATGTGCTAGAGACGGTAAGCAAATATACCCTGAGCTTGTGCAGGTATTTTGTGAACTGGGAATGCAGCAGACGATGTTTAATGTACACACTCACGGTGGTGAGCATTTTACTGCGGGAATAAGGGAGCTGGTGCTGCAGAATGCCCCTTCATCCTCATTTGGGTCTCTTACGGCAATTCTAGCACCCTATGTGGTACCCCGAATAAAGGACTTAACCACTCAGAAAGGAATATGGGTAGTTGTTAAGCAACTACGAAAAGGATGCCCAAAAAAAGGCAAGCAAGGCTCTTAAAGTCAACAGTGCCTGAACATGAGTGGATTTACTGAAAGCAGGTGTAGATCACACCAAAATAGATGCAGAGCCCAGTGCTAGAGTTATGGAGACAATTTTGAGAGGACCAGAATTTCACTCCCATGTGAGGAGGGGCTGCTGTGAAGGGGAAAACTGGCGACTCCAGGCTGCAGGCACAAGGACCATTTGCTGCATACACTGGCCTGGGGGAGGCTCTATTCACTTTTGAATAGGGTGAGGGCCGAGGAATCCATCCTCAGGGTGTGGATGGGGACCAAAGTCCACATGTGGAACTTGCTATCCACTAGTCCCCAAGCAGTGTGCAAAGGGTTTTGGATTAGTGGATATGGAGGCAGCATGTATGCTGTTATATGGGAACCCAGAAAAGTTTCAGGAGTCCGCTTATTTGTTACATTGATGGCTATGGAAGCCGGAGTGTCAAGGTGATAGCAGTGAGAGTACTCCTGGGGACTGGGCGATTACCCCCAAAGGAGTATAAAGTGTGTGTGTTGCTATTCCTGGAGTACATCCTGGGGGTGAACGTACTACATGGCTCGTGGCTGCAGACCACAGCCAGAGAATTTTACCTTAGGGGGCGTGTAGTGAAGGCGTGGTGCAGGGACATGCTGAGCATCCACCTGTACAGCTGCCAGACCCCAGGCAAAAGACCAATACTAAACAGTATCGGTTGCCAGATGGCCACGAAGAGATTATGGGCACAATAGCAGAGCTGGAGAAAATGGGCATTGTGCGTGCTGCCCACAGCCCTTACAAGTCACCCGCGTGGCCAGTGAAGAAGCCTGATGGCTCCTGGCATATGGTGGTAGATTACTGTGAGTTGAATAAAGTGGCTCCCCGCTTGCATGCAGCAGAGCCTTCACTGGCAGACCTGATGGATGGACTGAGCCACGAGCTGGGCACATATCACTTTGTAGCTGGTCTGGCTAATGCTGCCTTTTCCATTGCTATAGCACCAGAGGGTCAAGACCAGTTTGCCTTCACATGGGAGGGTGGCAGTGGACATTCACTGTGCTTCTGCAGGGACATCTGCATAGCCCTACTCAGTGCCACAGCCTGGTGGCAGCTGATTTGGCCCAGTAGAAGAGGCATCCTTAGTGTGCTTGTACGATTACATTGATGACATCTTGTTGACCAGTGATTCTCTTGCAGATTTGAATAAAGCTGTACCTCTCCTATTGACACACCTGAAAATGTGGCTAGGCAAAGAAAGCAAACTGCAAGAGCCTCGATTGTCTATCGAGTTATTGGGGAGAGGGCAGCCAGGGAGCATGCCCAGCGGCCAGGCTGAAGCCACAGAAGCCACTGTGTGAGAGACTGATGGCCCCAACTTGGAGATGAAAAGCTTTCTTATACTCTCTGGGTTTGTTGGGACCGTAAAATTTTGACTGGAGCTGGGCAGAAACAGGCCATCATTGTTTACCACAGTCTCCCCATTTCCAAGGCACCATGGAACAGATGTGACTCCCCACCCTGGCTGGGCAGTTCGAGCCATGGCCGACACCATCTTCGGCAGTGGGAGTGACCAGTGGGTTTGCCCCAATGACTGGCAGCTTGCCCTACGAGCAAAGCTACAGACCGGCTGGTCTGTGCACACCTACCAGACAGAGAAGCAGAGGAAGAGTCAGTGCCTTAGCCCAGTCGAGGTAGAGGCCATCCTGCAGGTCATCCAGAGGGCCAAGCGGCTGGACATCATGGAGCAGCAAAGGATTCGGGTGGCTGGTAGAGCGACTGGAGACCATGAGGTGCAACGTGATGAGGAATGGCCTCTCCCAGTGTCTATTCTGTGGGGAGGCACTGGGCTTCTTGGGCAGCTCGTCAGTGTTCTGCAAAGACTGCAGGAAGAAAGTCTGCACCAAATGTGGAATCGAGGCCTCCCCTGGCCAGAGGCGGCCCCTGTGGCTGTGTAAGATCTGCAGTGAGCAGAGAGAGAACACTTGTGAAAAGAGCCACCAGAGGGAGAGTGGGCAGAGGTAACAACTAGGTGAACTGGTGCACCATGAACAAGCTATAATAAGGAAACTATGGGTCTCCTCCGTGGCGCAGCAGGTTGAGCACAGCACTGTGAAGCTGTCCGCAGCCTCTGCAATGCGGGTTCAATCCCGGCTGGCCGACGAGAATCCCACATGGCGCAGCAGACCTTGCCTGTCTCTCCCGCTGCTCCCTTCAGCAGTGCTTTCGGTCCACTCTGCCTGTCCTGTTCCCCACTCTGTCTCTGGTGAATCCTCTCACCCCCACACCTCTGGCCTGTACCCCAGCTCTTGTATAAATTAAAAAATAAGTTATTGGGGGTTGTTTGGTCGGGTAAGATGAAAGTTATCCCTGATGCTGTTACAGACAAGGTGCAGGCTTACCACACTCCCACCACAGTGAAGCAGTTGCAAACTTTTCTGCGACTTCTGGGTTGCTGGAGGGCATTTATGCCTCACATGGCCCAGCTCCTATGGCCTCTGAATATGTTTATATATAGAGGGACCAGCTAGGATTAGTCTGCTGAAGCAGATGCAGCATTTGCAGCATCCAAATGATATATAAAGGATGCTCAAGACTTGCAGGTTTTTGACTCAGCCTAACCCTGAGAGCTAGATTTGCATGTGACTTGGGAAGTTCTGGTGGGCACTCTGGCAGAAAACAGAGTGGCTATGACCGCCCACTGGGTTCTGGTCCCAATTCTGGAAAGGGCCGAGATTAGGTATTCCTTAGTTGAAAAGCAGCTTTGGTGTGTGCAGCTTTGCTAGCTACTGAAAACATAACTGCCATAGCTCCTGCTAGGTAGGTAGGTATGTAGTGTGGACTACCTACCCGATAGCTGGTGGGTATGGGATTGGGCAACAAAGCCCTGTAGTGGCTGTGCAACAAAGACTCACTCCTGTTGATCCTTTGCTGTGGGGGCAGGTGCCCCTGACACGCTGGCAAATTGACATCACTGGACCATTACCCCACTCTGATGGACAGCAGTATGTGGGCACCTGTGTGGGCACTGCTACCAGTTTGTTAGCAGCTCATCCTGCTCCACATGTGGACCAAAAGCAGTTTTGGCAGCACTGACATGCATATGTGCTGCATATGGATGTCCGCTGGTGGTGAAGAGTGACCAGGTACACAAGTGAAGTTGTGGGCCAAGGACATGGGTGTGATGCCGCAGGGATCATAGAACACCACAATGTCCTGCTGAAGCAAGGACAGAGCTATGGCCCCCACTCCCAGGCCAGCTGGGTGGAGCTGGCACCTGTGGGATGTGCTCGGACACTAAAGGAGAGGATCAGGAAAGGCGGCCTGACTCCTTTGGAGGAGTTGCTGCATCGTGCCACTGCTCCCATTCAACTGCAAATACAGACTTCAGACATCTTGTTTAAGCCTGGGTTTGGGTGGCAGGGAAACATTTTATTGCCAGCTCCTACCAGGTTGGACCCAGGACAAACTTAGACATGCATTGGGTAACCCTGATAGCCCCTTGGGGATGTGGCCTGGAGGCTGATATACAAATAACACCTTGGGCAACTGGACACTGACCCCCATGGGTGCTTGTTACCCACCCTGGGGTGGCAGATCAGAGTGCAGTGCCAAAGGGAACATTTATGTTAATTTTGTGGCCTATTATGAGCTAATCTCTCTTGTTGCATATAGAGCCTCTGGAGGCCACTGTTGCCAGCTACCATGTTGTTTTCTGACAAAAATTGGCTGGGAAACTGCCAGAAGGGAGAGATCTCCCATTGCTGGTGCCTACTTTATCTGGTACTTTGTTATCTTTTCTCCCCTAGGTTGCTGTATCCTAACACCTTAGTGGACTATACTTAGTTGCATTCTGTTAAGGTTTGTATTGCTTTTGCAAGTTATGGGTACAGTAGTTCACACACATAGCAAGGGAAACTTATATAACAATCATGCATAGGTTGTATGGGGGGAAAACCCCTGATTGGATGGAGTATAAGGAAAATGGGTTAAATAAGGCTATTTTTGCCTTATTGTGTGCCACAGGAATTCAACACCCAAGGTTACAGATACTCTGTAACCTTGAAATGTATCAGTTATATTTTTCCATCTTTCTGGACATCCAGCAAACAATAGGTAGGTCCTGCATGTGCAACAATGTATCAGCTTTGTGGCCTTGAGTACACAACAGTATATAAGGGGCTAGGAGGCTCAGTTGCTGTTTGATCTTTCAGACTGTCTGTCATTCTGTCTCTCCCAGCCTGTGTGTCACCTGCAGTCCTTGTTTTAGCATTAAAGGTGTATCAGACATACCTAAAGCTCCAAGATCTGTTTCTTGTTTGCCCAAATCAACAGTGAACATGTTTGGCCTGGCATGGTTGTGATACAGG